AGGTTTTTGGTGTCTAGGTGGGTTTTGTTGGATAGTTCTCTTCCTGGGTGGCTGCCTCCCTGCACCACCAAATCAGCTCATCTTCCTCAGTGGCCTGTTAAGTCTGTGTCTGCTCCCCTTGCAGGGGTAACTCCTCCTCTCCAGCCTTTGGGGAACTGAAGGACTATTACCTCTTCTACCTGAAGAGCAAGTCTCCCCGGGAGGAGCTTCTGAAGATGTGGGGAGAAGAGCTGACTGGTGAGGAAAGTGTCTTTGAGGTGTTCACATGTTACATCACTGGAGAACCCAACAGGAATGGGCACAGGGTGAGTGATGGCCCAGGAAGGGATGGTTGGTGTGGCACAGACAATAGTGCATGTTTCCCCTTGCTCCTGGTACTACATCATTCTTCTAAACAAGAATTGGCACTTCCCTATCCAAAAGAATTTTCTGGGACAGTGTTTGGAAGGGGATCCAGCAGCCAGAGCTAGGGCTCAAAATAAAAGGAAAGCTGCTACAGTATGACAGGACTGGTATCTATAGACTTCAGCAGTCGTTCTTAGAGTTGAGCATATCCTGCCCTGTGAACCAAACCTGGGAGTTCTCTCCTGAAGCAGGTGTGTTTGAGGCCATTAGGGCACTTCTGAGTTCCTTCAACACCCAGATGGCAATGAAGGGGTTGTTACACCCACTGTGAGCCACCCTTTCTCCCCATGGCAGGTCACATGCATGCCTTGGAACGATGACCCTCTGGCTACTGAGACCAACCTTCTGAAGGAACAGCTGGAGAAGGTCAACAGACGAGGAATCCTGACCATCAACTCCCAGCCAAACATCAATGGCAAACCATCCACAGACCCCATTGTAGGCTGGGGGCCCAGTGGGGGCTATGTTTTCCAAAAGGTACAGTGCTATTCTGGGCTAGGCAGCCAAGAGTTATGACCCTGTTTGGCCTCTGTTAGGTTGGGAGGTCCCAGGCTTTCATCCAGATAATCTTTCTGCCTGCTCCTTATCTTAATGCCTTGTTGGTGAGATGAGGCAAAGCTCCTTTGGTGTCCTAAGAGCCAGGCTATGTCATCTCTGTGGCTGACTTCAGGGCTGTTTCCTCCCACCTCAGATCATGTATTGTTTCTTGTTTCTACTCTCAGCAAGTAATTATTGGTGACTTCTTTCTAGAGCAAGGCTGCGAAGTTTTAGATATTTTACCTGCTGCATCTGCTCCCATTCAGTGATGCAGAAAGCACTCGGGTTTTTCATAAAATGGGAATCAACGGGGTAGTATCTCTACCACCCAGCTTCTCATGGTGATAACTGGGCATTTATAAATTCCCCTGTCTGTCCTTCACTAAGGCAGAGTTCTCCACAATTACCCTCAGCCCCCAGCACTGTGCTGTGCTGTTCAGACAACTGCCAGGTTCCTTCCCTGGCCTGCCAGCAGCCCTGCCTCCCACTGTCAGGCATTTCAGGCCCTAGAGCCTTGCCACTAATGGCTGTGATAGGAATCTCCCATCAAGGTAAATGCCAGGCAAGTGGCTCATACTGGGAAACAAAGCGGCCGTGTTCAAAAGGGATCCAAACCGCCAAAGCCAGAGACCAGCAGATGGCAAATGCAGTTATGTTTTCAAAGGAAAAGATTCCCCCGAGGTGAGGGAAATCCATCATCTCACACAATAGCCAGGAAATGGGGGGAGGGGAAGCAGTTGTTGGGAGCAGCCAAGCACAGAGCAAGTACAGAATTGGGTTGTAGAAGCACACGGGGAGAATTGTGAACAAAAGATGAGGACAGGGAGTGGTGCTTAGGAGAGCCCAGCTGAGACCCCCGAGTTCTGCTCTCACCAGGCTGGGCTGCCTTGGCAAGACACTGCTGTAGAATAGAGGTCAAGCACTCTGGCACAGGCTGCTTCCTGGTGCAGCAGTTGTGGTTACACTGGAGTTCATTCCAGCCTGTCTGCTTGCATGGGTGCAAAACAGGCAGGATGTAGCTTTCCTGAGCTCACTGTTCTGGCCTGTTATATCTGCTCTCCCCAGTTATTTATTTTTTTCCCCCAGCTCTCTTATGAATTTGCTCTGCCCTTTGCTCAACCCTCCTCTGTACTACATGTTTCTGGGGATGAGCCATGCAAGGCAGCCCAGACTCCACAGCTCTGTCCTCATTTGCCTGTATTTATCTGTCGTGCCATGATTTAAGGCTCTGACTCTCCTCCCCCTTCCCCATCCCTCCCTGCAGGCTTACCTGGAGTTCTTTGCCTCCAGCGAGATCGTCACGGCGCTGCTCAAGGTGCTGAAGAAGTACGAGCTGAGGGTGAACTACCACATAGTCAACGTCAAGGTGGGCTGTGGGGCACAGGACACGTTCCTTTCACCACCTGGGGGGAGAGGCAAATATCCGAGATTCAGATACTGCTATGAACAAAGCAGGACGTGAGGGCTGATGAAGGGAAGGGAAAGTAAAGCAAGTCAGCTGTGCCATGCAGCAGCTGTTTGAGTTAACAAGGAGAGGGTAAATGCACTTGTTCCAACTCACTCAGCTCCTCCTCCAGCAGTTGCTCCAAAAAGGTTTTCCCTCCTTTGGCAGGGCCAGAATATCACCAATGCTCCAGATCTGCAACCCAACGCTGTCACCTGGGGCATCTTCCCAGGCAGGGAGATCATCCAGCCTACTGTAGTGGATCCTGTAAGCTTCCTCTACTGGAAGGTGAGTCCTCCCTCCTGCTGGATGCACTACTGTGAAATTCAGTGTCTGGTTAGGTTTTAGTCTGTGACACTTCTCACAGTTGAGGGCTGGTGCAATACTGGCTTTCAGAGGTCCAGGTACTGCTTCTCCTGCTCCCTCTGTGTAAGGAGAACTTTGCTGTGGCAAAAGCTCTTCTCAAACACCAAGTGCACAGTAACTTGGGAACTACCAGTGTCACTGTAGTGGGCCCCAGAGTGCTGGACAGTGGCTCTCCCTCCCCTCTTACACACACGCAGGGGCAGCACTGAGCCATTCATTGCACTGCAAACCGTGTCTCCTTTCAGCTCTGGGCACTTCCCCCTGACTGGAAAGCATGAGGCTCCTTGCTCAACTCCTGCCATTTCTGCTGAGAAGAAGCAAGCCACAGGCTGGCCCAGCCACATGTGACACTGAGTGTCCTAAATTAAGTAACATGAAAATGTTACACAACTGCCAACGCTTTTTTCCCCTGCCAGGACGAAGCCTTTGCCCTGTGGATCGAGCAGTGGGCCAAGCTCTACGAGGAGGAGTCGCCCTCTCGCATGATCATCCAGTACATCCATGACAACTATTACTTGGTCAACCTGGTGGACAACGACTTCCCCCTCGAAAACTGCCTCTGGCAGGTTGTGGATGACACTTTTGAGCTGTTGAACTCTCCAACTCAGCAGTGAAAATCCCTCTTACAATCCCTTACTTCCTCCGTCCATCCACTGAGAAGCAGCAGCAGCTCTTGTGCTGGTGATGGGCACCACACTCCCAAACCCACAGTATGTGCTCTTCTGTCCCCAGCAAAAAGGCTCCCTGAGCCTTTCTCACTGAACAAGAGCCAGAACTACCTGAGCCTCTGAGCTGAGGCATCAGACTGAGCCTGAAGGCCAGCTCTGCGGGATGAAGAGCTGCTGATGGCCGTGTTGATTACAAGAACAGAGAACTCTTGTGCATCAGTGTGATAAAACTCCATGGGATTCTGGTAAATTTCCCATGCCAAAAATGCTGCCTTGGGGGCAGAAACACTCCTGTTAGCTGTGCCTGCGTAAGGGGATTATTTCAGCTGTTACCAACCCGGAAAAGAAGGTCAAATTGCTTTTATATTGCACTCCTAAAATGTATTTCTTCATAATTGCTCACATCAGGCTATTTTGCACTCACTCCAGAAGAAGGTTCAATATTTCTCCTTAACTTTTCTCCTTTTATTGTATTTCCTGTTTTCTTTTTAATAGGACTATGTGAATTCCAATTCTGGATTAAGCTACTTAGGAATCACACTATTCCTTAGATTACGTATAATAAATTACGTGAATACAAATGTCCCTTGTCCTAGGCTACACTCTGGCAGAGACTCATGTTGTTTGCAAACTAGTCAGCGTGGCACAAAGGAAAATTTTAAGAAAACCAATTGTTTCTGGGGCAGTTCTGCCTTCACTTTCAGTGCATGCCCTGAGTATGGCTAAAGCTCGATGGTAGAGCAGAAAACGCTTAAATCCTGGAATTTATCAAAAGTAACCAGCTACAATCTTCAGCCCAGTGCTGCAATGTCGAAGGAGTTGTGGTGGTCCTTTTCCAGTGCCTGTAGGGAAAGACAGCCTATCTTTCCTGACCTAATGACTCTTAACAGCCTTAGGCCCCACAGCATTGGAATAAGGGGTGTGTGGAGCTACTGAGGCTGCTTTGTGTACTTAATAATCCTGCCAAGCTACCACAGGCTAGGAAAACAAGACCTTGGGGCAGTTCCCAGTGGGATTTTGAGATCCCCAACATGCTGTGAGCATCTCTTTCAAACAAGCAAGGAAGAAAAGCCTTTTCCAGATTCTTCAGACCCTCTTGTTACAGCTGTCTGAGGCCAGGCTCATATATCCAGGGTAATTACAGGGCATCAATCACAGAGGCAAGTAATGGGAAGGTTGGGGATCAGACACGCCTGTCTCGCCTCAGCAAAGCTTTTGGTGCTCAGCTGTTCCCAGCAGGTTTCTCCATCCCTTGCCCATTCAGCACAGAAAGGAACCAGCAGGAAGCAGTCAGGAGGTTGGCCACCCACTGAAAGGCTTAATGAAGAGCTGATGGACCTAGACAGGGGGAGGAGGTGGGAGCCATGTGGGAATCTCCCACCAGGGGAAGAGCCAAATCTGAAAATAAAGACCCGTGTTTGCACCTACCCAGGACAGTCCAAACTTTGGAATCAACAGGATCCAGCACAGGCAAACTCCTGCTCATCTCTAAGACTGATGTATTTGCTTACTCCCCTGCTTGACACCAAACTCCTGTCCATGACAAAAACACTGAGTAAAGGGAGAGCCTATAAGACGGTTTTTTTGACCTTTAATCAGAACTGCAGCAAAAGCAGGGTCCAGAGGAGAAGGGAGTGCAACCTCACAACAATGGGGAGTAACTTCTCCATTTGTGCTGCTAAGGAGGTAGGATACAAGTCCTTTAAAGAGGACCTTTGACTAGGTATACCATCTCTTCCTGGTTGTCCTTTGGCTGTCACCCTCCTGGCCTGCAGCGCTGCTTTTATCACAAGAGCAGTGTTCTCTTTCTCGACTGCACAGGACCAACTCTTTGTTGTGACAGGAGCCACATCCTCGATGTGTCCTGAAATGAGCAGCAGCTGCAGGCAGTCCCCTTCCATTCAGCAGAGTCCTTTGTCCTTGAGCTGGAATGCTGTGAGCTGCTGCCACCTTCCAAAGGCCTGAGAGAGGGAAGTGGGCAAATCAAATACTCTGGTGACCCTTGAAGGGTTGCAGCCACTCTCATAGAACCCATAAACACAGCTTTCCCTCTAGCAATGGCTCTGCCAGCTGCCTCACCACTCAGAGCCCTTTCCCTGCCTCTCCTGTAGCCAATAAATGACATGCAAAGCACAAATAAACGTGAGAGAAAAAAGAACAATGTCCCTCCTGCCCTCTAATTTCAGTACCTGCTCCCATCTCCTTAAAGCAGGACCTAATCCTGCATGGATCTTCGGGAGGCAGGCAGAGGAGCAAACTGGGTATGAGTTCTAAGGCTTTGCCTGCTCACTCAAATTCATGGTGATTTGCCTGCCCCTGGGTGCAAGTCAGCACAGTTCTCCTGCACCAATGTGCAGCCTGTTTCTTCCCTGAGTGGGCTCTCCAGAGGCAGGGGATTAGTGGATTAACATCACTAATAACAGTGGGGAAGGGGGCACACGTCAGGGAAATTGCCTGCTGACACAAAGCTTTGAAAAACACCCAAAGATGAACCCGTGTAAGGCTGGAAGCTATTTCCCTTTGTTATTGGCAAGTCCCATTCCTTGATGTATTCAACTTCTCCCCAAGCAAGTGCTTTGTGCACGGGGAGAGATCCAGGGAACACCAGTTGTCCCTTGGGGGTGCTTTTTGGTCCACTGAGGCCCACAGAATTGAAGCACTGAATTCATAAATGCTTACCTGGGACAGGAGGCTCCTGGCTTCCTCCTCCAAAAAATTCTGTACCACATAGCTTTGCAAATATCTTCGCCTCCACACCCTCCAGGTCTTTTCTATGAGCCGCTGCCGGTCCTGCCAGGAACAGAGACAGTGCACAGATTAATTGGGCTCTGGCAAGCAAATTACCTCCCTTCCCTTGAGTCCCACCTTGCTTCCCAGTTGCCTTCCCAGGTCCCTCTTGAATGACTTTGCATTGGTAACAAACAGAGCTGACTAATAACAAAGCTCTTACTGTCTCCTGCAAATCCTGTGGCTAATTAAGTCCCGATACCCTGGGGAGCTCCAGCACAGCTCCTCAGTGAATATGGACTATATACAGGCATCATCTTGTCCCCTGGGCAGGTCAGAGCACATCTCACACAGCTAAAGCCCAGGAAGTCAGGCAGAGCATGGGCTGAGAAGAAGAGGAAACCAAATGACAGCCCTTGGTAGGTTGGGGTCACCAGTGGGATGTATCAGGAACACAGATGAGGACAAAGACTGTAATACTTGCTGTGAACTTTTTGCATAAGCCACAGACAATCTACACAAATCATCCTGTCTCAGCTTCCCATTTGTAAGACGGGGCAAAGCACAACTAAATCTGTAGATATGGCAGTGTGCCAGGCTGGCATTTCAAAAAGAACGATGGAAAAATGATCCACAGCAGCAGAGCAGGATTTCTGGTGCACACTGGTACTTGTTAAACCCCCAAGTCTCATTTCCCAGGCTGCAAGCAGAGCAGGCTTGCCCAGGAACACCCACCCCTGCCACCCTGGTGGCAGCAGACACTCACCAACACCTGAGCCAGTATCACCACCCTGCTGGCTTCCTTCCACTGGTGCCACCCCCTTGCCAGACAGAGCAGTCTCCTTTCACGCTGGTGCCGGCAAAGGACCACTGTGCGATGCCACCACCTCAGGTATTTCCTCCTGCAGGCAAGGGAGAAAAATAAGCTTTACCAGCCTAACAGCCCCACAAGGGAGCCCTTCCCCAATGGCAGCAGCAAGAGGAAGCCCAGAGTCCCCCACTCCACTTACCCGAGACGCTCCTCATCCCACTCCTCCAAGTCCACCTCGGCTTTGTTCTCCTCGATCCTTGCATGGGCATGAGAGGGTCCCACCACATCAGGTCTCTCCACCAGGTGAGGGAGCCGCAGCCTTTCAGCCCTGTGCTGGTTTCTGTAGATCACCAGCCAGCGCTGAATGGCACTGGGAAAAAGTCCAGCTGGTGCTGAACCCTCTTCTCTGCCTCTTCTGCTTTCTAGGAAAGGAAAGAGGAGTCACTCAGGAGCTAACCTTGGAGCTAGATAGGGAGAGAGCAGAGCTGCCATGAGTCCTTAGTCCTTTGGCTCAATATGGAAGCAACCCACAGAGTTTGACTACCATGAGGTTCTACTCCACAGAGAAACCCCAGTCAATTTGGCTGGCACTATTTCCCTTCCCTCCTCACACACTCCCCACATGGCCCCACGACAGGAAGAGAGGAGGGAGCATTTTCTTACTCAGGGGCCAGGACAGAGCCATCTTCCTGCTTTTCCTAGCCCCTATGAGGGTACTGCGCTGCCGTAAGCACTGGGAAAAGGCAGCTGCTTTGGTCCAGTAGTTGCAGGCCTGCAAACAGAAATAACACAGCTGCAGCCAAGAGTAAACACAATGCACACAGACAGCACTCACACAAACCAGCCTTAGAGACACATTTATGCCACAGCCCTGCAGGTACTTTAATGTGCTAGACCCCAGGCTGGAAACTGCACAGATGAGCTCCCAGCAGGACTGACTCAGCCCTTCCAAATCAATCGACCTCTTTGTGGTTTGCGAGCTGTGAGCCCTTTGAAAAAAGCTGCAACTCTGACAGCTCACTCTGCTCTGCAGGGACAGTGATTATCCCATCTCATCTTTTGAGCAGAGGGAAAGGAGTGCTCTCATCTCTCTGGTCAAAATGTCCCCTTTCCTTATTGCTGTGCTCCAGATGGTTCCTGCAAGTGCCAGATTATGGTGATGAAGTTGCATGCACAGTCTGCGAAGAATTTCAAAGCGGGGACTAAGCAGTCACCACAAATCAAATTTTCATACAAGCCTTGTCACTGAATTCTCAGTGCCTCGTGACTCACTGAGCCTTCACGAGGGAACAGGCAGTTAAGAATAACTGTCTCACAGGGATCTTCATCTTCTCTTACCTGTTTGACAGTGGCCACAGATCCCAGGCGCAGGGCTTGCTGTCCTCGTGCAGCCACTCGCCAGCGGTGACAGGCTTTACCTGGAGAGGGGGCCTGCCACTTGTGGTTTCTCTCTCCTGGTACTCTCTGTTTAGCTCTCAAGAGTTTGCTCCTCCACTCAGTAAAGCTCACAAGTAAGAGACGGTGCTCTCTGACCCTTTTAAACTCAGAGAGGGCTTCGTGCTGCCTCAGACTACACGCAGTGACCTGGGCCCAGGTGATGAGGCACCTGAAAAACAGTGCAAGCATAGAGAAGTGGTAGATGCCTGAAGTCACATTTCCATTTGAGACCAAATCCCACCTTCTCACCCAGCCTGCAGCGTCCCACATAAATGGTCAAAGCAAGCCAAAGAGCATTCAACATGAAAAAAGGCTGTTTCTATTATTCCTTATGCAATCAACATTTATGGATCTTTCTCCACACTACTTATTTCTCCAGTGCCTTGTCTTTGGGAGGTTCAAGTTCAGACTCCTCAACTATAGTGTCTTTCTGCTTAAAACTTGCCCTTATTTTACTTTGGGTTCCCAACAGTGTTACCTCTCAGCTACTCAAAGCCCAGGAAGATGTCTGCTTCCCTTTGGCCATTTTAGCATTTCCTCCTCTTCAAAGGCCTCTGCAAAGTGAATCCAATATTACACTACACTCTTCCTTTGTCTACAAAATAAACACTTTTCCTAGGCTGCCCTGCCACTACACACAGTGGATCCCTCCAAAGAAAAAAAAAGGAATTAAATTAGTCAGTCTTCAATCTTTTTCTGTGCCAGCAGCTGACCTTAAGGGTGATGTTTGATGAAGGTTTTTTCTTTATGGGATGAGAACAAAACTGCTAAAATCTCCTTCAGCATGGAACCCAGCAGATTCCTGAAGTCTGTTTGCTGAATTTAAGACAGCAGCTTGCTGTCAAGACTCAGATTTTATTTTTTTTCTTGGCTGCCACAAACTCAGGGCCTGTGTACGTGGGATGTACAACTCGAATCTTTATGGAGACAATTTTATTCCAAAAAAATCAATGTCTATGGGAGTTACTATTAACAGCACTGCAAATCTGCACCCACAGTAATCTCTCTCTATCTTGCAGGCTGATGCACAGGAGGCCACCCTAGAATCCAATCTGCTTTTAACTCCTGGCTTATCCTTTTGGTTCCTTGTTCCACTTGGACTTTCATTATGCAAATCACCCCACTGCAGTATAGGGCAGAGGTGTAAATATCCTCTGCCTGGCAGGCTTCCTGGGAGATCAAGAGAATCTATTGCAGGTTATCCTAGCATGAAAAATGCCCCCCTCAGAAGAGACAGGGCTCAGCCTGTACCATATCCAGGTGAGAAATTAGAAATGCTGCCTCATCAAAGCAGACTCGGAAGGAAGATTAATGGTGGTGACACACTCAACAGGAAGGAGCAACATTAAGGACTTCTCCCAAACACAACTCCCACCAGGGAGCCACCACAGAGATGGATTTGCAGAGGAAAATGCAGTTGGGTGGGGTGAGTGTAGCATCACAGCCACCAAAGTTTCACTGGGTTTTTAGTTGCTCTTTCCTCTGCAGATCTTTGTCTCCTCTCACCCTGACCCTGCAATTCAAAAGGAAACCTGCCAGGGCCAAACCTGCACTTCTCATGCCTTAAATGAACCCTTAGCATAAATAATCTTATTGTTCTTATCCTCCTGAGTTATTTCAAAGAGAAACACCTGAACAATTCCTGGTTCACTGAAGCTGGCTTCAGCCAGGCACCAGCCTCACACAACATAAACCACAAACAAAACTGTTTTCAATGAGAAAGCCACTGAACACAGCTAAGAGAGAAAAGAAATTAAATTCTTATGTTTTCAGGATTTGCAACATAACATAAGATTGCAAACCATACTACAGCTTCACCTATATTGTAACTAACACCAAGATGAATTGAATATCATGGTTCTTCATAGGCTTTACTGGATATTGCTTTGCTGCAGGAATAGATTGAATTCAATTTTTCACATTAAATTAAAATCAACACCCTGTGTCCAGAATCCTAAAAGACTCAAGTCTGTAAACATCAGATGTCTGTAAACCTCTGCCCTCTATTCCTTTCAGCAAATACTGACTAATTCCTGTGAAAACAAGGCTTTCAATTTTTTAAACTGCACAAATTTGTTTGCATTTCCCTTGATTAGGGTACAAATACAACACTGCATAACTATGACTGAACACAAGTTCTGGAAAGAAGTTTTGAATGAGAAGAACGAGATGGGGAGTGTGAGGCTATGGATAAGAGACTCTTGAACATAAAAGCATCCCCAGGGAAGTGCTCCTACAGAAGCTCCATTTACACACAAGTTATCTGCACTTTCAAACCCAAGCTCTGCTCTGAACACAATGGATTCTCTGCTACATAAACTGCTCTTCACTCAAAGCTTCCCTCAGAAATGCTCTGAGGTCAGGAAACAAACCTGTGCAGGAGAAGACGTTCCCAGAATAAAGCAGCATATTTCTGCTTCATTGTTTGGTAATACCACGTCTGCAGGACCAGCCTCTTCTTCTCCTGGCAGCTGTGCTGAGCCCACTGCTGCTGCAGCTCCCTCAGAGCACGATTCCCTGGGAGAGAACACACCACCTTGCTGAGCTCAATCCAATGATTTTTCCATCACAGAGTCCAGACAAGAGCAAAGAACACATCTGCTGCAAACACCAAATGGGACCAGACTTGCTAAGATTTCCTGTCCTCTCTTTAGCAGCTAAAGAGACTTTTCAATTCAGCTTGTAGTTTTCTGTCTGCAAGGCACTCAGACCTTCTTTTTAGTTTTCCCTGCAAGGGATCACAGATCACTTCCACTCTTATCTGCAAGGCAGTTTTCCATCAAAAATTGGGAGTGTTCCTTCGCCACCACAGTGCAAGTAGCACTTAGAGCACGTGGAATCCCTTGAGGGACACGATCAGGACTGTCAAGCCACCCCAAAAGACACACCCTGTTCCTGCTGAAGTACAACCTGACTCTTGGGTCTGAGGAGGCATGTTCACACTTGAATGCTGCACTGAACTCCACTTAACTGCCCAGCTGCTGAAATGCACTGTTTGAGGACTCCTTTGGTAGTGGAGGTAGAGGTGCCAAAGGAGCATCTGCCCTACCAAAAAACTACAAAACAGCAGGGCCCTTGTCCTGCTGATAGCCAGAAAAATGCAGTGACACAGGCACTTACTGACCCCTGGACTAGTATGCACCTTTCCAGAGGAGCAGTGCGCAGAATTACAGCCAAGAGTGGGGCTTTCTCCATCCCAGCCATTCCCACAGCATCCCTCTCCTAAAGACAGGAGTGCTGCTGTGGGGTGGGGTCACTCACTTTGCCAGCAGGAATGCCAACGCTTCAGAGCATCAGCAGTGATCTGGTGCACGTGACACATGAATCTCCGGTCAACTTCCACTTTCTGGGCCATTCTCTTTTTCCACAGGCTGAAAGCCATCTGGCAGCAATGATCTCCATGTTTTAGGGCTGCTGCTGCTTTTCTGTTCTTATTTTCCACGACCCAGTGGTGCCAGCTGAGAAAGGCTCTGAGAAAGACAAAGGTCACTGCACCGACCGTAGGAACAACTCACACAGATTCCCACCCTTGTAACTGAAACTTTAACAACAAACATACACGAGGGAGTTTTAGAAACACATCTGATCTGTTAACATCCTTTTCCCATTAAATATCAGGGGAAATAATGGACAGGGCAAGTTGTTGGGAGTAAGGTGTTCTGTCCTGGTGGTGCCAAGCCTGTTGTGCTCTTCAACTCTGGAATCAGTAGAGAGCAAGGCCAGTTTAGTGGATTAGGAAGTTACCAGGACTTGTAATCAGCAGTGCTGGGCTTGCTCTGATTTGTAGGGCATCCCATCCAATCACAAATCATTGTGTTCAGATATAATAATTTTGAAGTGGGTAAAACCAGAAAATAATGGGCTGCAAAACTCCCACTGAAGACAGAAAAACACAGCTGGACAAAGAATTTTTTTTCTTACTTTTAAAGCAAGTGTAAAGCTTTCAAAACAGAGAGCTTTAGGAAACTTCTGGAAAGCACAATCCCTACCGAGACAGCTGAACGTGCCTGAAGTACTGCTGGACCTTTACAAGCTGTTGAGTCCGAGCTGACCAAACAATGAAGTACCTCTGCAGGCAGCATTTCTCTGCCTGCTGCCAGCAACTCTCCACCTCCTTGTCAGAACTGTAGTCCTGTAAACCAGAAAGGCAAAAAAGATCTTGAATTGCTGTTATACCACAGTTATTCCGTGCAGCTCAGCCCTTCCTCTTGCTGCTGTGACTTCTATGACTGCAAGAGTTACCCTGAGGAAAGCTTCAATCTCCCAAACCTTCTGTCTGAGAGAAAAGAACAAAGACAAAACAGCAGTGAGACCTGATATGCTGATATTGAAACCCAAAGGCTCTTTGCTAAATTGGGTTATGCAGAAAACACTTGTACATTTACATTTTATGCACCACTTTCTGGCCTCACCTCTTCCCATGCAGAGTAACTGGTGAGAAGCTGGTTATTATCTGGACTCTGCAGCACCAAAGTCTGGAACTCATCTCCCACAAACCAATTTCTTCTGCAAGACAAAAGTGTTGGGGGAAAAGAGAAAGAAACAAAAGGATAAAGTATCTGGGAAAATGGTGTGAGGTGATGTGAGGGGATATCCAGCAGGAGAGAATTCAGCCAGACCAAACAAGGGGCCACTGCCACCAGTATCCCAAAGAACCAGTCTCCAACTCACCCAGATCCAGTGCTCTGTGGAGGAAAGGAGGTCTGCAAGCACAGCTCCCCACCCAGCTCAGCTGGCAGCTCTGTGCACTGGTGGAGTTGCAGGAAAGAACTGTGACATGGCAGGTGTGTGACATCCTCAGAGATCAGAAGGGAGAAGCCGTACTGGCTGCTGTCACTGAGACTGCACTCCTGTGGGTGTGAAGGGAGGACCACTTGAGGTGAGTGTCCTCGTGGGGAAGCACTCAGGCAACAGTTCTGACCAGGCCATTTACTCCTCCTTCTAACAAGGATTCAGGGAAATCCAGAATGCATCCAAAGGAACTGCAGGCTAGCAAGTACAGCTCTGGAGTGCACACATGTCATGATGGGAAAGTTACTTCTGTACTGAATGCAGAAATACAGATATTTCTCTACTGAGGAAAGAGCATATACACTGTCACAGTGAGGAGGCTCTTTATACCTCATCCCTTCCACCTTGCAGCCACAAACAGAAGCAAGTGTGCAAGGGAACCTCACCAGCTCAGCACCTTCCAACATCACTAGATGATGAACCAGAAAAGGGCACAGAGAGCATTGACTTTACACTTTCTGACTCCATTTCAACTCCAGGACCCCACAGATTCAGTGCTCCTCAGCATTAAATTTTAAGCACAGTTTGCTGATGACAACATCATGTTGAAGCAGAAATTTTCACCTGAAAAAGCTCAGCAATTTAATACTTCAGAGCAACCTGGATGTCTCAAGGCCTCCTCACCTTTTCCAATGAGCTTTGAGAGTTCAGAGTAGCTGCAGCACTGCTGTCAAAGCCAGATGATATTGAGAGGTCCTCAGAAAACAGCATGGGAAGAGGTTCCTCATTAACAGCTTTGTGCGAGTGCTCAGAACTTTGTTCAATTGTCTTCAGCGTGAGGTACTTTTGGTGCCACAGTTTCAGAGCTTTTCTGAGTCTACACTGCTCCAAAGTCTGAGAGAAATAACTGAGACAGAAGATATTGAGACAGCAAAGTGACAGAAAAGAGATACCACAGGGGGACACTAGTACAGACATGATGGATGATCAACGGGGTAAAAGGGGTTCTTCAGAAAGGATCAAAAAGTCAAGGGGACACTGCTAATGAGGGCAGGGCTCCAGGAACTGGCTCTTCTGCACTCACTCAGCTTTGTGATGCTCGCACAGCCTTGCTTTCCACAGCAGATACACCCTCTGCAGCTTCAGCTTTTGGCAGAAGTCATCAAAAGAGCAGTCTGTTTTCTCCAGAAACTGCCTCTCCACAGTCCACAATGGCTGATCTTCAGGCCTCTTTGTCACTCTCTTGTCAGCTTCTGAGCTTATAACTGCTCCTTAACCAGATACATAAAGGAACAAGAATCATTTGTCAGATGGCATTCCCAACTTAGACCAGCCCAGCCCCCAGACTGCTTCTTCTCAGCGAGGTTTAAGACTTCCTGCTAGGTTTATGATGCAGATCAACAAATCTCCCTGTGGCTTCACTGACACATCCAGAACTAGTGCTCTGCCCACTCTGGTTTGTTCATACCCTGTATCATCTGAGCCCCTCTGTTATCAGGCTGTTTTCACTGTACAAGAAGAGGAAGAAGGTGCCTAAACACCTCCAAGTCTTAGATTCTGCACAGACCCCAAGCTGCTCACCATGATGCTGCCGCCATTGTAGGAGGAAGAGGTTCACCACTGCCTGCTTATCACCTTCTCTGACCTGCAGCATCTCAACCCACAGGTGGAAGTGCTTCCTCAGTGATACTGCTCTGAGACGGGCCAGGTTGCACCTGTTAAGTGCCTTCTGCTCAGCAGCCTCCTTCCATGCACTGAAGCACCTGAGAATACCAAAGGCAAATAAAAACACATTAAAAAAAAATGTGTACAAGCTTGTGTCTCTTTCTGAGAGTGGGTTTAGTTCAGGAAAGACAGACAGAAGCTGTCATCTCCTGAGCTTCTATTTGTTTATTTCAGCAAAAAGCCACAGTCATGCTCAAAGCACAGCAGCACACTGGCTGCTCTCAGGTTTGGTCTCTCAGAACATCAAAGCTCAGGACCAAAAAGCTTTGGCAGTGCACAGGAGGCAAGTTGTAACATCTCTGGCCACAGTAGTTCCTTTTCATGTTTCTATCCCTACTTTCATCCTTATTAACTTCTAAAACAAAAGGATATGTGGCTTTAAGATGGAACAACACATCTGGGTTGGCTCTGTTATTCCTTGGATCTTCACAGTGAACAGGCTTCTCACATGAAAAATAGACCCCCCTCAACTCACCGGGAGGTTGAGGCTCTTTGGATTTGAGTTGTCAGTGCTAAAATCTGTTTCATTTCCAAGCATCGGGAACGCCACATCCAGAGAAGGTTCCGTAGCTTCTTCCTTTCCAGCAGGGCACGGGCTTCCGAAAGCCTGGTTTCCTCTTTGCTCAGCACCTCCTTCTGCAGGCGCCACAGTCTGAAAGCTGCTGCGTCGCAGGGCAGGAAGAGATCACAGCAAGGAAAGTAACTTAGAAGAACTTCCAACAATTCAGTGTCACACAGCAAACATTCCCTGGCTGAACTCCAGCTGCCTGGGAAAGGGAACTTAAGGGAGGCAGCTCACGCTGCTGGAGCAAGAGCACCTGCTGCAGCTGAATTCATACAAGGAGACAAGGCAAAAGGTGTATGACACGGTGAGAGGCCACGCTCCACCACCACAGACACTGGCCCAGCTGTTTGCAGAATCAGGTTCTGAGAGAGTCAGGTCAAAGCAACAATTACATACAAACCAAAAAACATGGTGAAACAGTGATTATCTCCAAGCTGTTCCAAGGCCATGGAGTGTGTACTTACCAGCCAGGCGTCTCATGTCTCTGATGGCTTCAGCTCTCCAGCAGAACTCATTTCTCTTACTATGACGAAGCTGTGTCCACAGCTCTCCCTCCACCCTGAAAGAGGCACAAACATGCTTTAACATCCAGCTGCCCAAAAAGGCACTCACAGAACAGAATCCAGAGCTTTCTTGTCTGGACTTCTCTTTTTGGACTTTTCTTTTTTCTGGGCTTGTTATTCTTCCTTCAGAATCAGAAGGCTCAACAAAAGGTTTTTCTTTTGACCCCCATACTGTCAAACTACCGCAAGAGACTTCAGTATTGCCTCACTCCACACACAGCAGAGACACTACTACTGCTAGAGTACTGTGGTATTGCCTCATCCCAATCTTGTTTACACCTGTATCACATATGCAGGTGACAGCAGAAGCCAAGAACTAGTACAGGAGTATTTCTGTCAGACACTCAAACACCAGTACACAGAAGCTCTGAAATAAGATTGTTTAGTTCTTAAAACTGAGTTACGAATTCTTGCAGTTTATCTACAGTTTATCTACATCCAAGGACATGGAAACAAGTTTGCCATCATCTGAGAAAAAAATTTCCCTGTGTTTTGTAAAGCTCGCCTTGTCCAAGATAACAGAAAGAGAATGCTCTTGGCTTACCTACGAGCCTGCTCTGCTTCCTTTGAGTATCCTGTTGTAAGCTGATGCTGAGCTGAGGTTGTCATAGTTGCTAATCTTCCTACTCCAAAACCCCCTGCTGATGAACTTTGGGTATAAGAATATGGCTCAGGCTGCAGAGCTTCCTTCTTGCTCCGTTTTGCCACAGCTTCCTTCCACTGAAGAAGAAACCATGTGATTAGAACAAACTGCAGAGTACTGGGATCAGCGTCCCCATCGCTGAACTTCACACAGGGTACCCCTTCCTCTCTGACTTTCTGCCCTCTCTGACTGCACAACAGAAAGCTCATGGCACCATCCCACTGTCCCTAGCCCATCCTCACCCTGTGGAAGCTGGCAGCCAGCAGTGTGTTAGCATGTCTCCTCCGGGCCACCTCCAGCTGTGTCCTCCTCCAGTGCACAGCCCACTGCAGAGCACCAAGGCCCTTCCGAAGCAGCTGCTCACTGTAGAGCTGCCTGGCTGCAGCCCTTTTCCAAAGGACGTGTCTCCTCCAGGCCTGGAAACACCTTCTGAGGATTTCTCTGTCACACAAGTGCTGGAAACTTAAAAAGAAAAAAACAAAAGTGAGCTCCAGCTAACAGAAAGGAAAGTTAACCAGCCAGGAGGTGGCAATCAGAGTTCAGCCATCAGGCTGTAAAGAAATTGTTTCAAACCATTCTCTCTAAAGAGTGAAAAACCTGCAGTCTCTCTTCAAATTAAGGAACCTAAACTGGTAGCAACCTCACACACAGGTCACAAATTTGAATCTGATCTCATGACCTTCCCTATCTATGCAGTGAGCACGCTGGAATTTGCTGCACTGAAGAACAGCACTGATGGGTACCAATGCTTTCTGTTGCTAGCAACAACCAAGGCTAAATTTAGAAGACAGAATTTAAAAGATACATAAATTATTTTTTTAGATCATACTCAATTCTAGACACAAAAGAAAGGGATGCAGGCCCTCAGCTAAACACAGCAGAATAATGTAGGTTAAGTCGTAAAACCAAATGCTCCTCAGGCCTTTGCAGCAGTTCTCCTCTGTTAACTACCAGCACATTCACACATGAACACAGGTTTTTTACCTTTGTTCATTCACCTTCAATGACCAGAAGCTGTTCTCAGAGACCTGCAAACAGACAAAAGACAGTAACACACAATTATTCCCACTACTCCACTCTGTTGAAGAGTTTGTCTTTGTGGCACAAGTCATTCTGGATGGAGACCAGAGCAGTGCTGCCTCAGAGTCAGGTGTTATGTCAGATGCCTTGGACACTGCCCCACCATTGCTCTGGGAATACTCTTACATATTCAGATGTGGAAGAGCACAGCAGAACTGAAATCTCAGGGCCCTGCAACCACGCACAGAGTAAAAACCAGTTTAATGCTTTCCCTCAGCATGCGGATCCGGAGAACATAAACGGGTGTTTACATTTCCAAGAAAAACCAAGTTAAAAAGCTGGTCTTTAGGAAGAAGGAAATGAGATGGAAAGATGCATCTGTTGGGATGGAGCAGGACCGTAGGAGAGAAGATTCTGGCCATTCAGTACCAGGAAAAAACTACAGGACAAGCATCCCCATCACTTGTACCTCAGCTCTGCACCTCTAGCAAGTGGCAGAAACAAGCACAAGCAGTACCTGTGACCAGGGATGCTTCGCAGTGAGCACACCCTCACCTCTCTGGACACAGTTCCCTGTGTCTGGCTCCCTTCTTCACAGCACCGTGGTTCTTTGGCATTCCTCTCCACAGAATGGTCTCCAGACTGGTTGAGACTGGCATCATCTTCCAAATTCCTCCAGCTGCCTTGGTAGGAGTATTTGTTTGTTTCTTCTCTGCTCACATTCGTACAATCTACATGAGAATATTCACCAAAGCCTTCTTCACCCTGAGTACCCAAAGGGCTGGACTGGCTGCTGCCCACCACAGCCATCCTTCTGGCTGCTCCTGATCTGGGGTCACACACATCTTCTGACTCTTTGATGCACTTAACACTAGGTTCAGAGCTGTTGACTTCTACAGATTTAACACTAAGCTGCTGGCCTGGGCTAAACTCTTTATCTCCAGGAGGAGAATCGACCCTCACACACACTTCCCCTGGAGTTCCATACATGGCTACACCAACGTTCATCTGAGCCCCCCTGAAATCTGTCTCCAGTGACACCTGCAGACCCTCTGGATACAGACTGGCTGGAAGGTCTTTCTTCCAAGATTCAGCACACAGAGATGCCCCATTAGATGTCTCTTCTCCTTTAAGAACCTCTTTTGGGGAATGACTTTTTGTGTGAACATAAAGACTAGCAGTTTCCAGAGTTGGCTTCGCCGGGGGCTGCACTCTGAAATAGGGGGACCAACTGTAGGAGGATTCTGCTTCTGTATCCACTAGCCTGCCAGAGCCCACTCCAAAAGCAAGGGCTTGTGGTTGGATGACACCTGAAATTTTTATTCTCCATGTGTTTGAGTCCATGTATCCATATCTGTGAGAGACAGAGAGAGGTTCTGCATGACTGAATTCCCTTGCCACTGCACTAAGGCTCCAGTCTTTAGCAAAGGGGACACCCCACTTCAATCTTGCCTGGGCTGCACTGGTCCTTGCTGCAGCTAGATGTTCTCCCATGGTCAGGATACCGGGAGCTGCATCATCAGCAGCTAAGTGCAAACGGCCACTGACTGGAGAAGACCTGGGCTCCAGAGGGAGGGAGCCCCGTATCCCCATCGAAGCACTTTGTTGCTTAAGCCTCTGGATTGAACAGTACAAGCTAGCAGAAATCTGTGAGGATTGCAAAAGAGACTGAAAGGAGTCCAAACCAGATGGATCGAGATCCCCCAAGGTCAGGGCTGAACTACCACAAGCGTTCACACTTTCACTTGAGCTCCTTGAAGAGGGACACACCCCTACCTCAGGCCTAAGAGAGAAATCTGCAGTGTGAGATGACAAATGTGCATTGACCAGGGAAGGGTTCACAGGATCCATACAAGAAGCAGCCAGGAGGCTGATGCTGTTGGGTTTTCCACTGGATAGTCACTATTCTTGTTCCTATTTTGTAAATACTGATGACAAGGAGTGTGTGTGGAGCAGGGACCAGCTGCCTTTGCTTCCTGAGGGTGTTGTTGAGGAAAGCCAATACTCTCGCTCCTTCTCCCTTCTAAACCACAAGCCTCAAGGTGCAAGGGAGATTCTCAGCAGGGAGCACTGACAAACCAAGATGGGGACTCTGTGAGCCACACACTTGTTGTGCTGCAGCCTAGAGCAGAGAATATTCTGCTGCAGGAAGCAGAAACCGGAGAACTGAGTGGCAGTGTCCTGGAACAGCTGAGAAGGGCAGGAGAGATTAGTCTGTCTCAGACTGGGATGTCTCTTCCCAGGTGAGAGGTGTGGAACACAACCAGCCTTGTGCTGCTGTCTGCCTGGGCTTACGCTGAACGCTGCAGCCTCAAGCCAGGGATGAGAAATGTCTACTCGACTTCTAGTGCCCAAATACAGATCAAAATTCAGGTTCTTCTGAATGTTTCTTTGCTCTGAAGAAAAAGAAGAAGAAACATAAACAAAGGAGCATGTGTATTTCCCGTCACATCTTGCCTAGTTTGCCAAAGGCTTTCGGTACTTTCCTTATGAATTCCTCATCTCTAATCCACCAGCCTCAGTCCTCAAAGTGTTACAGACACTACTCTCTTCCTTTTCTCAGCAGACAATCATGTCTGGCAGAGCAGGGATGACTGAAAGGGACAGATTCAGCTCTGACAAAAAACCTGGAAAACAAAGACTTCCAGCATTATGCACCTGCAGCCTCAAAAAGAACTTGTTGCTAGCAAGGCAGAATTATCCTGCTGCCATGACAAAAAGCAGCTTTTCCTGAATGCTTTACATCTCACCAGATCTACGTGACACCAGTCAAGAACAGGTCTGAAAGAAAATGTTTTCACAGAAGTCAGAGCAACGTGGTTCAATGGAGCACAATGCTTACCCCTCTTCATTGATTGGAAATTCAGCTCCAATCTCCTCCACACTTGTATTTCCTCCAGGGCTGACAGGAGAGGTAGGGCCTCAACTTAAGGTTCTCTTTCACTGCTTAGCAAGTGAAAATTTGTCCAAGTCTCATGCTACAGCCCTGCAAAGGTTCAAGCCTCTACAGACTAAAGTCTTCTTGTCCACACTAAAGGATGAAACCACGTTTACACATCCAGAGAACCAACACTGTCCCCTAACCTGGAACAGTTATAGCACAGCTGGGAGACCTAATTTGCAGTCTAGCCACTAAGTCTAATGGTTATACATATAACACTCATGCTGAGAACAGATTCCCAAGTTGCTGCTAACAGGTAAGTGCAATTTGAGGGGACTGTACTTTCATTCCCTCAAATTCTAAAAGCAAGTTGTCAATCACTGTCTTTCTAACTACCGTTCTTCTCCACCTCTCTTTTGAAAAGTGAAAATGGTATTGTATAAAGACACACACACCTCTATCAAGTTAAAACCCCTAGTCAATCTGAAAAGAGACAGCACAGCCTATGAAATCAATGCCCATTGTCTTTTTCAAGCACACTCTAATCCCAGAAAGCCTCCTGTCAAATTGCACTCTGTTTCCAAACTGTGTTTTTCTCATTCTCGTCTAAGGAAGCATTTGAGCCTCAGTTATCCCTGTTTGTAACAGCCCACTTGTCCCTCTCACATGCAAACTCCTTCAGTAATCACCACAAACTGGGGAACAAACTCAGCTCCTAAAGCAGCAGGAGACAGGCAGGCAGGGTTGCAATTATCCCTGGGAACTGCTGTTACTGCCTTTCATACATCACCGAGGGTGCCATGAACGGAAAGATCCCATTATTTTCTCCAGCTAAGTTGAAGTTGGCAACTACAGAGTGAACAGACAAAGCACAGCTGCCTTCCCTAGGGTGCCCATCACTGCATGAAGTATAACCACAAAATGCAGTGGACTGGTGTTCCACGGAAGCACTCCGTGCATCCCAGGAATATTCAGCCAACAAGCAATGTATCACAAAAGGGTGTTACAAAGGATTTAAATTGTGAAAGGACTGAAACCACCATGTTTAACGGTGCTGTTTTAGTCTGTGAACACCCACCCCTGGACTCCTTTATGCTCAAGAACCTGGACATAATCTATTTTCTTGACAACTCATTTGGTTTTCTTGGCTCTCCATTTCAGTTCTGTCAGGTACCAGGTTCTCAACACATTGCTATGGTTATTTTAGGGCATGTCCTTCACCTCACTCATTTCAGTCTCATAGAGATTTGGAAGAAATAGCATCCTTTAAAAATCATGTTTGTCTGCCTTCCCAAAATTGCCACTCAGGACTTTAACATAACCACTTCTAAGCAGTACTTAATCTTACTCAAAAGACAACAAGATGTTATGAAGTGCTTTTTTAAAACTTCTCCAATGGCCAAAAGGGATACTTAAGGCAAACTACACATTTTCTGAAGTGCAAAATCCATGACCAATGGATTTCATATCAGTTTTTATGTTTCCAACGAAAACATTTAACGCATGCTCACTATATAAACACTTCGCAGAAACACACTAATGCTTTAAAACCTGAAACAAATCCAATTAAGCAAATAAAAGATGATCAAGTTCTTTCTGTTGTTATAAGCAAAAGGAAGTAAATAGCACAGATCACGAAAAGGAAATCAAGCTCTTTGAAGTGAATGCCATTTCAGCAGTATAACAATGCCAGACCCATAATAAACACATAAGCGCTGCCATAATGCTCATTTTCCCACCCCTGCAGACCAAGGCCGATCCATTCCACATTCCAAGTTGGGACCGGTGATTAGAACGAGACCACACTTCACGTGCCTTGGAAACAAGGCTCTTCCCCACCGCTCAGCCTTACAAACCAAACCACGGCTGTCGCTGCGAGATTTCTCCCACCAGGCACAACAAACACGAGCGGTGCCCCCTCACCAGCTGTGCCTCCATCCAAGCACCAGCGCTGTCCCGGGATGCGGTGGTGGGAGCGGGAAGCCCATCCCCAAGCCCCCCTCAGCACCCCCGATGGCTCCGCGCTCCTCGTGGGCACTTTACTCACTCTGAGAGTCGCCAGGACCTGGGGGACCGGCCAGGCACCTCCGTGTCATCAGCACCTCCTGCGCAGGGACGACCCGCCTCGTCCCCCTCAGCGCCCGGACCCCGCGCCCGCTCCAGCTGGGGCTCTCTAAGCAGCTTATCCCGGCGATTAGCAACGCTGCCGGTCACCGGGGCTGCAGATGGCCGCGGGAAAGCCGCTCTACCCCACGGCTAATTAAAGCCGGGACCCGGCCGGGGTGAGGGCGGCTCAGCCCGGGGTGAGGCTGTACCTGTCCCGGGCAGCGCCTCAGGGCAGGCGCCATCTTCTCCCCCTTCTTCTCCTCCTCATCCCGACCCCGCCACCCCTGAGGGAGTGAGGGAGGAACTTGCCCCGGTGATCCCGAGGAGCTGCGTCAGGGCACAGCAGGACCCGAAGATTTTAAGAAACAAAGCAAAACCACCCGAATGGAGCGTTGCGCCTGTCTGGGTGAATAGACCCCGCTGAGGAACTCTGAGAGCCCCGGGATCAGCGAGGCCATCCTCTGGCACAGCAGCTCCGTGAATCCCCTCACACCCTGCTAAACCAAGTACAAACACTCTCCTCCTCCTCCTCCAAAGCCAGGAGAGGGGCCTGTTTTTATCACCACCTCTTTGCTTTACTCCTCAAAAGAGGTATCCTTGAGGCACTGCAAACCTCGTGTAAGTCCTGCCTTGCTCTGCTCCACTGAGCTCCCAGATGTGCCAAATTCTCCACAGCAAAGCACACAGCAGGTCAGCTAGATGGGCATTTCCAGTGGAGAATGGCTGGGAAGGCCTCACTAAATATAACTCATCGTGCAAACACACAAAAAACACTGCATTTAAAGCAGTGATTTTCTGTTGGTTGTTCATTGGTCTACGGAAGAAAAAGCCCGAGCATTTAAATGTGTTATTCAGGCATCTGTGCTGCCACTATACAGTTCTAAAGAGCTGAAAAAAACCACTAACATAAAGGCTGTGCAACTCCACAAGCCCCAGAAGTTTCTGCCTACCTGTTCTTCCTTCCCCATCTGATCACAAGAACAGACAGATTGCTATTCCTGTACTCTGTGGCATGGCAGCTTGAAAAAAATGAATGCACAACACTCATCCTGTGAGAGTAAACACAAATATCACACTTTTATGGCATTTACCATGTTCTTGGTCCAAGTATCAACGATGAAGGTCCAGGTACACCAGCAGGTCGCTGTAGTGCTTTTGCAGCAGAGTGGAGGAAGCATCTGCTTATGTTTAAAGTGATCAAAGTTGGGAGAAAACTGCTTGGTTTTAAAAATACAAATGGCATGGTTCTGCAGGTTAGAGCAAAGTTAACGGGGCTCTTGGTCACTGAAGAATCAACACAGCAGCAGGTCTTGTCAAGAGAAATGCAGTTGCAGAATAATAGATGCAAACTTTGAAAATGAACCTGCTTCAGAAAAACACAGATCTTCCTAGAACTAGAATTCTGCCAAAGCTGACATACTCTTTTTCTTCTGTAAAAGAATCCTGTTGAAATTGGTTTGTTTATTTGTTTCTGGGATTTTGTTTGTTTTAGAATTTTACCTGAAAGCTACAGCAGGGCAGATTTGTTTTGCAGAACATTAGAGTTTATGGTTTGTCACACTCTGTGGAGCTCACCTCTTCAGTGTAAATAAATCCATCTTTTCCCTTCCTCAATCCCCATTTCACTAGCCCACCTTCCCACCCATATATTTACAAGCAGTACCTTCTACTTGTTGTAATAAAGCTTAGACTAAAAGCCATCAAAGCCCTGTAGAGCTTTCCCCATAATGACCCTCCCAAACTGCCTGGCTACAGCCTCAAACCCTCAGGCACACTTATATTTTCAAATGAGACATAATTGACCAGTTTAACTTTTTCTAACACAGAAAAACTGTGTTCATTTTATAGTTTTCTTAGAAAAATGTAACATTTCACGTTCTGTTAAGACAGGCGGCTGAAAGCAAAAGGACCTTTCAAGGCACAAAGTATCTATAACCTACATTCAACAGTCATTTTAAGTATCCTGAAGGACATTCAACTTGCATAAAAACATCAGTCAATAAAACCCAAGACCAGACACTGGGAGCACAAACACCTCCCTGGCCCAGTTAAGAACATTTTATACCAAGCCTAGCTTTGTGCAAACCACCACAGCTAACACAGGGAGTTATAAATCTTAGGAGCTCATAAATCTTAGTTAAATAACGCCATCAAAAATAGCTCTTGAGAACTCCCAGATGTTTCCTGGGAATATATCTGCATAGAAGCAGGCTAACTGTATCGTTTAAGGGCAGTCCATAAGGCTTTTAAAGACAGTTTGTCCAGGGGTACTTTTAGTGGTTCCCTTACATCAAAGAGGATGCACAGTGCAAGACCTGGAAGACTGCAGAAGGTGCATCCAGTCACACAAACTGAGGAGGGATTGAGGAGGAAAGTACTGGGATTACAACGAGTCACAGTGCTTGACATGACACCTCCGAGATCTTCTGGACTTACTGCAGGAACCCATCTGCCCAACCTTCAGGGAGGCGAAAGAAGTATCAGATCCTGTCCCGTTTGCTCAGCAGCGGGTGTGGCTCCAGGAGAACAGAGAGAGGAAGAGCAGAAGCCTTGGCTGGGCGAGGGCAGTGTCCGTTCGGGGCTCCAGGTGCCTCAGTAGGGTGGCTGGGCTGCCTTGCCCGGGGGAGGCCACTGGGGAGGCGCTTCTGACTGATCAATGGGCTCGTAGGTGCTGCGATCCTGGCCCGCACTGGTGACACCTGCATGGAGATGGAAGAGAACAAGCTTGGGAACAACGCAAAAGCACAAAAACAGTATCCTCTAGGAGAAGCCAACAGCTCAGGAGCACACTACGTTAGCTGCCCTACCAGCTCCACAGCACCTGCCCTCTGTGATCCTCACTACACAGGCAGGAGGTAAAAAACTCATCCTTCCAACAAAGGGAAACTCATTGCTTTTGAGCGTGCCTCTTCATTCCTTGCCAACTACTCTCTTGGCTGTGTGCAAAGCAAGACCCACAATACCCCATTGCAGCATAACAGGTTCCTGTAACAGTGTATTTCAGCAAGAGCAGTGTATGAGAGCTCATGGGAAAATGAACAGACATAGCCAGAAGCAGCAGGAACCATGGCCAGCTGACAGCATGGATTTAAAGGCATGATTCATCCCTGAACCACTCCTCCCAGTCTGCACACCACGGCACTAAATTTGAACCCAGCAGTGCTCCCAACTGCACTGTGAACAATTTGTCTGTACAAAATCATGTTACTGTCCAGGGGATGAGCGGGGAAAACAGAGAGAGAGAGAGTGTGCATGGACAGCTCTTTATCTATGGACCAGGCACCTGTCATGGGGAGAAGCACCAAACCACACGAGGGGTTTGTTCTAAGCAGCAAGGATGCTGCCAAGCAACAAAAAGGGATTTTGTGCAGAAAGAAAATCAGCCACAGAAGACTAGGAAAAATGCAACATTGCTGGGTTCAGAAGGAAAATGCCGGATAGCAGGGAAATGAGAGGAAATTTGTCAAGCACATTCAACACAAAACAGCACACAGTTTGAAAAAATCTTGAAAATCTTGTGAGAGAAAGTTCAGGAGAGGATGTGCAACTACAAAGTGTCTGAATTCCCCCCTGTGCCTGGGAGGAGACTCTCAGACAGTACCAAGCCTGGTTTGGGATAGTGTGGTTGAAAAGGAGTCCTCCCAAACTCCAAGCAAAGGGTTGAACTCCTCAGTGATACTTACACTTTCCATGGGATACACACGTCAAATCCCAGTGAGGAGCACAGTGAGCAGCTAATAGAAACTGGCACAAACATGGCCCATAGCAAGGCACTGCAGGTGACTCACAGGCCTCCTGACCCAGGTAAGACGCATCTGTCTGGATTTTCACAAGCAGAGAAGACACCCACACTGCACTAGCAGAGAGATGCAAAGGGCACACAGTGCCCCAAGCCATGATTTCCCTCCATGGCTTCTCCTCCTCTTTTCACAGCAGTGTGATCTTTGCTAACACCCAAAGCACCATGAGTGACAGCTTCCAAACACTGTAATGCAGTGACACCTCCCTTTGTCCTGCACAGCCATGGCAAACAGAGCTGTGCCAGGCTGCTGGTTTTGCCAGCATGAATTCCCACACAACAAACAATCCCTGGCAGCTGCCTAGGCATGAACTAGCACCAGGCACACTTAGTAAAGCTAAGACCCAGAACATCCAGCCACAGCCCATTCTCTCTGGCAAGGCTGCCACACTATCATTAACAAGTGCAACCGAGAGAATAATTAGTGTCTCCAGGCAAAGTCCCATGAGATAAACATCAGTCCCATTTTCCAGGGGAGGAGATGGAGGTCCAAACCAA